TGGAAAAAGTATCACCCCCTCCTGAAAATGACTTGTACAGTAAACTCAATCAGGTGTAGCTAATCACCTTCTCACTGGCACACAAAGCCATTTGACTTTCGACTGTGATCAGCTGTGGTCATTTTGATCAGCTCAGCATGAAAAGAGCTTTTCTGGAGCATTTCAGTCCTTGGTAGTGCAACTGAAGCAAACAATCAACTATTGGTGACAAGGCACTGTCAAAAGATATCTGGTTAGACTCTGAAGCAGTTTCAGGAATTTATGGCAAAGAGTGGTCATTGTGTGCATGTGAGAACAATATCACAAATTCTCCACAAATGTGGCTTGTATGGGAGAGCTGCAAGAAAAAAGCCACTCCTCAAGAAAGGCCACATGCAGTCACGACTGAGCTTTGCCAAAACACACCTTGAAGATTCTGAGGCAGATGAGACTAAAATGTATAAATTTTTGGCCTCAATGTGTGTGTGCGTGTGTGTCATAAAAAACTGTTTTATGTTAAACTTTTAATAAACTGTATATTGTATAGATTTCATGATTTCAATTAACATACATGCTTTTTGATTACTTAAATCTAATGCAACCATTAAAACAGAATCCAGAAATAATAATAATAATTAATAATGGAGTAAATCAATATATATGTACAGTGGGTATAGAAAATAACCCCCCCTTTAAAATTATCACATTTTTGCTGAAATGAAGACAGACACCAGTTAAACCAAGAATTATTAGGGCCTTTGTTACGGTCTGCGACCTTTTGTTTTGTGCGTGTATGTTATTTCTTTTAGTCTCTTCTCTGTTCTCGCTCTCATGCTCTTAGGTACCGCCTTCCTTGGATTCTATTGGCTATCTGTGCAGTCATTCATCATTAGTTATTTGATGACGCATTCCCTTTGCCAATGGCATTCTTGTCCGAGAGGTTCAAAAGGAGAACGTCAGCGTGTCTGCAGAATGGAGTTAGTTAACTTCTATCTCTGGAGTCTATGGGGCGGATGGAGGCAGTTTGCTGCTAATAATGAGCAACGGGAAGCCGCTTGATGTCAGCAGGAAACTCTTCCTCAAGCGAGTAGCCTTCTTTCTTCATCAGGGCCTTCGGGCCAAAGAGCAGGTCAGTGGAGACAGAACAGACCTCCTAAGTGACAGCACAGCTAACACAACAACATTGCCATTATTTAGGGCTGATCTGAGCTCAGACACTTATAAAACAAACACTTTCAGCTCTAAAATCTGATTGGATGAGTAGCATTCATCCGATGAATTCTATATCACGACGGCAAGCTATGCAAATGATATTCCTTGATGGAAGAACTGTTCATTATGGTTATTGTAAGAAATGTTTTGGGGTTTATACCTGTATAATACATTCAAATGCCTCCAATTCTTGATATCTGTATCTGCATCGATATTGTCTACCTTCAGAACTCGTCACAGGTTTCATATTTTGAATGCATATGTTTCTTGGGTTGTCATACAGTTGTGTGGAATATAATGACGTGTCTTTCAGAAAGTCGACGGTTGGCAGCAATAAGAGAAACAACCTTCCCAACAAGTTTTCAGCCTACAGTTACAGATGCAAACTTTTGACATGCTTAACAAGATGCAATTTACTTGCAGCTGAAAGTTTGTAATGATCACTACTAGAAAAGTTAGCTTTATTTGGACAGAATAGGAGCTTCAACATGAAACACTATTTAGAAACTCATTTAAGTTATTTAATTTGACACAATTAAAGATAAATAAATAAACCGAATCACTGAGTTGGAAAAAGTATCACCCCCTCCTGAAAATGACTTGTACAGTAAACTCAATCAGGTGTAGCTAATCACCTTCTCACTGGCACACAAAGCCATTTGACTTTCGACTGTGATCAGCTGTGGTCATTTTGATCAGCTCAGCATGAAAAGAGCTTTTCTGGAGCATTTCAGTCCTTGGTAGTGCAACTGAAGCAAACAATCAACTATTGGTGACAAGGCACTGTCAAAAGATATCTGGTTAGACTCTGAAGCAGTTTCAGGAATTTATGGCAAAGAGTGGTCATTGTGTGCATGTGAGAACAATATCACAAATTCTCCACAAATGTGGCTTGTATGGGAGAGCTGCAAGAAAAAAGCCACTCCTCAAGAAAGGCCACATGCAGTCACGACTGAGCTTTGCCAAAACACACCTTGAAGATTCTGAGGCAGATGAGACTAAAATGTATAAATTTTTGGCCTCAATGTGTGTGTGCGTGTGTGTCATAAAAAACTGTTTTATGTTAAACTTTTAATAAACTGTATATTGTATAGATTTCATGATTTCAATTAACATACATGCTTTTTGATTACTTAAATCTAATGCAACCATTAAAACAGAATCCAGAAATAATAATAATAATTAATAATGGAGTAAATCAATATATATGTACAGTGGGTATAGAAAATAACCCCCCCTTTAAAATTATCACATTTTTGCTGAAATGAAGACAGACACCAGTTAAACCAAGAATTATTAGGGCCTTTGTTACGGTCTGCGACCTTTTGTTTTGTGCGTGTATGTTATTTCTTTTAGTCTCTTCTCTGTTCTCGCTCTCATGCTCTTAGGTACCGCCTTCCTTGGATTCTATTGGCTATCTGTGCAGTCATTCATCACTAGTTATTTGATGACGCATTCCCTTTGCCAATGGCGTTCTTGTCCGAGAGGTTCAAAAGGAGAACGTCAGCGGGAAGACGGGGGTGACGTTTTGTATTGTGACTGTTGTGTGCACTCGTGGAATGTGTTTGTGTTGCTTAATAATACTTGAGCACTGATATTTGATACTACCATAGTAATGCACGCATTAAGCATGTTCAGTTGAATTGCACAAGTATGTTTCTATCTGAAGTGTTAACTGAAGTTGAGGTGTTTAACCATGGGGACTGTGTTCGAACTCTATGCTTTCCCCCAGAGATTGTTTACCATGGCGAATCGTTACCCCTGCTGCTTAGTTTATTCAAATGGGATGCTAATTTTGTGCACTGCTATCAGTTAGCTAAACTAGCTGCTCTGATTTTGAAGTATGAATCTAGTATGTTGCACATAAACAGAAACAGACTCTCTCACCCTCAGCAGAACAACACTCTACTTTGAAGTCCAGTGTTTAGCGAATTAGCCCTGAAAATCACAGGCAACTTTTCACAACGCTGAACCGATAACATTCCCGCGCATACCTGGAATTAAAATAGTCAGTTCCGTTCTGTATTCGTCTCTCTCTCTCTCTCTCTCTCTGTGCTATTGCCATTAAACGTCCTTGATGTGAGCCCCGCAGAGCTCTGACTCTGCTCTGTTCGGCTTTGATAACGCTTCAGCACAGACCTTGTCAAAGCCGCCACTGGAGCGTGGGTGAGCCACTTCCACATTAGTGACAGTTGATGCTCTCCTACTCTGTATAAACAGTTTTTTTTTTGTTTTGGTCATTTATTTTTGAGTTAGAATTATTTACATTTCCTGAGTGTGCATATTATTCTCTGTTTGATAAGTCAAGTTTCCTAGTTGACAGATAACTTTATTTGTCTATATGTTTCAGGCAGTGCTTTTGACACTTTTTAATTGACCACTGCACTCTTTAATTTCGGACCAGTCAGAAAGATCAGTCATCTCATGACTTTTGACTATTAAGTCAAGCCATGATTATTTCTATAGCGCTTTATACAATATTGTTTGTTTCAAAGCAGCTTTACATTAATAAAATGGAAAATAGGAGTGCTGTTGTTGTAAAAATAATAAATTATGAAACAAAATTGATCTGCACAGAACACTGATAGAAGAAGAAGAAAAAAAAATGTCCTGGCAAAAAATTGCCAGTATTTTATTTTATAATTTTTTTTTCTGGACATTTCAGAATTATTTATAACTTAATTTTAATCAAACTGTTTAATAGTCAAATCCCCAGTGAAGTACTACGCTGCATGCCGTCCTGAAGAAACATCGAGCATTTAGAGAAATCACTCACATGCAAAATGGGTTATATGTCTTCACAGACCAGTGGAGGCTAGCTACTTACTAGATCTACACAATCAATTGTTAAAAGATTCTTCTGTTTGTATATTGTATTTTTAAATAGATTGAAGCAAAAAAAACATATATAACATACATGTTATTTTGGTAAGTAATCTAATGTTGAGGTTTTGTAAATCACTGAAATAAACAATTTGAGAATCTCTATTAGATAATGTTAGCTCATTAGCTAGATATCTTCATAATGTTAGGGCTGTAGTGTAGAGTCAAATAATAATAGTATTAATAATAATAATAATAATAATACAGCAGTGGTGTTTTCTGGTAAGATAGATACAAAAATATATATTTTTTAAAGGTAAGAAAAAAAATGGTTCTTTTAAGAATGCATCTCAAATATGTTTCAGCTAAGAACCAAATGTTGGAATGTTGTGATTCATCTGAGAGTTTGTTTATTTCATGAATCTTTTCAATTCCATACACACTAAAAAATGCTGGGTTAAATATAACCCAGCGCTGGGTTAAAAAGGGACAAATCCAGCTATTGGGTTGTTTTGACCCAGCGGTTGTGTTCAAAACAACCCAGCCGCTGGGTCAAAACAACCCAATAGCTGTGTTTGTCCCTTTTTAACCCAGCATTTTTTTAGAGTGTATTGAGAAAATGATTAGGACAATACTTCCAGAACCAAAGGTGCTGACAGTGAACAGATAACTCTTAAAAATAAATCGTCTTTATTGGCATTGATGGTTCCATGTTGAACCTTTAACATCCATGGAATCTTGCGAGTCCACAAAAAGTATATTTATTTTTGTTTGTTAGATTGTTTAAATCTTCTTCACACTAAAAACAAAAAGGTAATTTTAAGAACTGTTCACTGAAAAGTTCTTTCGGGAACCTCATTTTTCTCATTTCCCATTTTGGAACATACATTTTTAAGAGTGTTCTGTTGAGATCTATTGAGATCAGTTCTTGGAATACGATCCTATTTTCCTGCTGTATTATTCTGCAAGTGAACTTTAGGTCTCACCTCTCTCTGGGCATCTGGTGGTTGGGGTTGTGGTGGCAGCGAATGCTCAGACCGAAGAGTTTCCGGGCCGTGCGCTGGATCTTCAGTCTCTGGGCCTCCAGTGAACTCTGCAAGAGCCGATAGCGGTTCTGAAGGTCCCAGTCGCTGCCCCACAGCAGGTGCACGCTGCTCACCGGCAGAAAGTGTGTGGCGGGCAGACGTTTCAGAAACGACTTAAACTCATCTAAGGTGAGAAAGAGAGAAAGACAGGTGCTCGTACGGCGGAGGTCAAACGCATATCCACATAAACCACATATTGATACTTGGAATCCATTGTGGGTGAAACCTGTTAAGAGTGATGGTGAAAAGTATTGACTTTTACGGACAAGGATTGATTTTAACCACAAACATTGTGTCAATACTATTATGTAGAGAGCCTTCAGAGTTCGGTGCACACAGTCCATCTTATATCTTTCAAATATTTCAATGTCTTTTAAAGGCATAATGCAAAGCCATTTTAGTAACACTATGTGTCAAATTTTGAAGTGAAATATGATTTCCAACTAGAGATTAGAAAGGCTGCCTAACCTACAACAGTACCCTTAAACAATGACTAAAGAGCCGTTTGACTTTTAGTTAACATTAATAACTTCAACTAATAGCATGTGTGGCTTGGGAAACATCAGTCAAAAAAAAAAAAAAGTTTCATAGGCTGAGCAAGTTATTACCTTGTATTAACAATTATGAAGTATTTATTTGTCTATGAATGAATGAATGAATGACATGCACTGATTAATGGCAGGGTTTATCATTAATTTGCAAGTCACAGTACATCTAAATTACACTTCTCATAATAACATAAAAAAAACTAGCATAACATCTATCAATCAAATTAAAATCTAAATCACAAAATGGCTTATCAAATTGCAAAAGGCTGTGATTTAATTAAATAAGTATGTAGTCTGTCACAGTTTTCTGCCAAAATAAAACCTTGAGTGTTTAACTCTTGCAAGTGAAGAAATGAAGCCATAAGTATTATAATTGTCCTGTACAGTAATAGTTTACTTAAGTCCAGTATAAGTTAATGCAAAGACGTTTTATTCTGTTCAATTTGGACACCAAAAATGGGTTGGAGCTCTTAATATTGAAAGTGCACCAGGTTGATGCATTTAACTCTAAAATGCATATAACTTTAAAATGTACAAGTGTACCATGGTCCATCGCACAGTCTCACAAAATACTGTGGAAAACGCTGAATCATGATTAAATAGAAGTAATAGAGTGTTTTTCATGTTGACTTTAAACCATGTGTGGCCAATCCAGCTCTTCGCAGAGTTCAGCTTCAACCCTACAGATTGGACATCACTGCTTTAAACAAAAGATATGTCATATTTCATAAGGGAATCATATGACAAAGTCATGTCAACCAGCAGTCAGATGAGCTCTAACTATGAACATGCATGTAGCCCGCGGCACATACAGCAAATGTGTCTGTTTGAGTGCAGTCGAGGTTGGTTGATGGTCCATTTAAATATCTGCAGCCATATTGGGAATGTCAATATAATGGTCTAAACATGCACACATGGTGGTTAACAACTCCACCTGCTTGTTTCCTTTGATGTGTCTGATATGATATTAAAATGACACAGTGTGGCATCTGAATCCAGAAAGCGCCGCAGGCCCTGACGCAATGACACATGTCTACAGAGCGCCTGTGTTTACTGGTGTGTTACTTGTAATTACGTGTCAAGAGCAAGAAGAAACCGAAAACACACACACACACACACATGCATACTGTCGTCTTTTCTCAGCAGAATACGGGAAATGCATTTTTCACTGGCTGCAAACTTGCATTTAAAGGGTTAGTTCACCCAAAAATGAAAATTAGCCCACAAATTACTCACCCTCAAGTCATCCTAGGTGTATATGACTTTCTTCTTTCAGACGAATCCAGTCAGAGTTATATAAAAAAATTGTCTTTGATCTTTCAAGCTGTTTAATGCCACTCAGCGGGTGTTGCATGCATCAGTCCAAAAGAAGTTAAATAAAAAGCGTCCATCCATAAAAAAAGTGTCTCAAGGCCTCCTGTAGCGAATCGATGCGTTTTTGTAAGAAAAATATCCATATTCAAAACGTAATAATCACTTTAATGTAGCTTGAGCCAACAGTCCTACACAGAAGCAGCTCCGGGCTGATGACGTATGAGGTCAGCTTTGCGCATGCGCCGTTCAGAAGTGACGCATGCAGAAGCGCAGCGGAGAGATCAATACAAAACAACGGTCACTTATTAGAAGTACAAAACGAGGATTTGTAAAGAAGAATGTCGGAGGATTTCGATATAAACCAAGAGGAGACTGGTTTTCCTTTGCTAAAGTAAGGAAACTTTGCTTCCTTTGATCCTGTTAACGAACGTTGGTTTTCACGAGACTCACCGGCGCATGTGCAACACTGAACTCATATGTCATCTGCCCAGAGCTGCTTCCGTGTACAACTGTTAGTGCAAGTTACATTAAAGTGATTATTACGTTTTGAATATGGATATTTTTCTTACAAAAAGTTATCGATTCTCTACAGGAGGCCTTTGTTCACTTTTTTATGGATGGGCACTTTTTATTTAACTTCTTTTGGACTGATGCATGTAACACCCGCTGAGTGGCATTAAACAGCTTGAAATATCAAAGACAATGTTTTATATAACTCCGACTGGATTAGTTTGAGATTAGAAAGTCATATACACCTAGGATGACTTGAGGGTGAGTAATTTGTGGGCTAATTTTCATTTCATTTTCATATTAATGCACATGTCCATTTAATGCATTTGATAGAAAGGTATGTAATGGATTACAATAAACAACCAAAAATTCATACAGCTGTCAATATTTACACAACTATCAATACTTTGTTGGGTGACCCTTAGCCTTAATGACAGCATATAGTCTCCTGGGCATGCTGTCAACCAGGTTCATGCAAACCTGAACTTCAATTTATTTCCCAGACTCAGTCTGAATAATTTTTGGCCTCAAATTTGTATCAATTTTACTGGTAGTCCACTGTATGAAGAATTGTTGGGTATAATATATCACAGTTTAGTTTATTTTGCTATCCTCACTTTACAGAAATTAACTATAGTGTCCTACACCCACTAGTAAACAGATATCAAAAATTATATCTGGTCTCTGAATAATTTTTGGTTTGACTGTATAACTGTCACGGTGCGTGCGGGGAGATGAAGCGAGGACTCAATTGCAGAAGAAACGGTGGTTTCTTTTAATAATAATAATAATAAAAAAAAACACAAACACACAACTCAAACCACCCCGAGGGGGAAAAACAGACAGGCAGGTCTAAAGCTGCACACATGCAGACACGAAACACACACAATGAGAAATGACGGATCAGCACAGGATGACAGACACAAGGAGAATAAATAGGAACCAAACGAGGAGGCTAACGAGTGTAGGATATTAGACCGAATCAGACAATCTAAGATTTGGTCAAAACCGAGTTGAGGCACGAGGAGTCACAAAAATTCCACAGAGGCCCAAGACAACAGGATGTCATAAATCAGGCATTAGCCCTCTGAAGCAAGCCTAAACCTAAACCCCTGTCACAGAACAGTTTTCAACATTAACACAAAAGCACAAGCCATGTGCTCCCAGAACACAGTCATCTGGTGGCCCTCCTGGGCACACCCGCTGAAGACTGTGACAGAACGCATTCCAGATGCTCCACCAAGAGCAATCCCGGAGGGAGGCGGAACGGAGGTGGATCAGGGGGAGGGATGGTGGGCCAGGCCCGTGTAGTGGAAGAGGCCCTGGAGATAGAGGTAAACCAGGGTGCCAGGGCGGGGCCGGCAGGGCAGGAGGCCAGGGTGCAGCCGGCAGGGCGTGAAGCTTGAGCTTGGGCGGAGCCGGTAGGGCATGAAGCTTGAGCTTGGGCGGCGCCGGCAGGGCACCAGGCTCTAGGGAGGCCTCCCGGCCTTGAGGGACGGAAGAAGCCTTCTTCTTCCTCCTCCTCCTCCGTTTCCGAGAGGGTGGCACTGCACCTTCGTCTGCTGCCTCTGGGGGCGCCGCAACCCCTTCGGCCACCACCGGAGGCGCTGCAGCTTTATCGGCCACCTCTGGGGGCGCTGCAACCTCTTCGGCCACCACCGGGAGCACTGCAGCTTCATCAGCCGCCTCTGGGGGCGCTGCAGCTTCATCAGCCGCCTTCGGGGGTGCTGCAGCCTCTTCGGCCACCTCTAGGGGTGACGAGGCGGACTCATTCTTCCTCTTCCCCCTCCTCCGTTTCCGAGAGGGTGGCACTGCAGCTTCGTCTGCCGCCTCCGGGGGCGATGCAAACTCTTCGGCCACCACCGGGGGCGTTGCAGCTTCATCGGCCGCCTCTGGGGGCGCTGCAACCTCTTCAGCCACCGCCAGGAGCGCTGCAGCTTCATCAGCCGCCACTGGGAGCGCTGCAACCTCTTCAGCCACCACCGGTGGCGCTGCAACCTCTTCGGCCATCACGGGAAGCGCTGCAGCCCCCTTAGCTGAAGAACGTGCCAGGAACTCCACAAACCCCTCAAAAGATACATGACTGCATCCTAGCATGCTCCAGGGGCTAATGGGCTTATCCAGGGCATAATTTAAGCTCATAAAGACTGCATTTATTTGTCTAAAAATACAGTAAAAACAGGAATATTGTGAAATATTATTAAAATTTAAAATAATTGTTTTCTGTTTGAATATATTGTAAAATATAATGTATTCCTGTGATTAAAGCTGAATTTTCAGCATCATTACTCTCATCTTCAGTAATGCTCATAATGCAAATTATGATGCTCAAATCAAATATATGATTGTATGCTCATTACTAATAATGGCTCTTATTTTTATCAATGTTGAAAACATTTTTTTTTTATATATATATATTTTTTGGGGGTGGGGGGAGCTTTTGTAACATTTATAAATGTCTTTATATAAAAAAACCTAATAATAATAATAAAAAATAAACATTTTTATTTGTAAAATACAATTTAATAAACATAAAATGTTTAAAGTAATAATATAAAAAAATAAAAATGAATAAAAATATTAGAAAATTTAATTGTAGCTTATTTTATTTAAGCTAGTTGTCATTTTAAGTTAGTATACTTAAACTGAAATAATAATATATATATGTATATATATATATATATATATATATATATATATAATACAACAAAATGTTACTAAAACTATAAATGTAAAAAAAAAAACTAATAGAAAATATTTTTTTTCCTTCAGAATTTCATGTTTAGTCCAATGTGTTGCTGTTTCTTTCTAATAAATTGTGTAATTTATTAGCAATTTCTGAGTGAAAAAATATATACAGTATTTCTTCACTTTTTGTTGATGCTCAAATCAAATATATGATTTAATGCTCATTACTAATAATGGCTCTTATTATAATTATCAATGTTGAAAACAGTTTTTGCTAGGTATTTATTATTATTTTTTTTTTTAATAACATTATAAATGTCTTTACTGGCACTTTTGATCAATGTAGTGAATCCTTACACTCATTTATTTATATATTAAAAAAATATATATAAACACTTTCCAAACATTTGACTGGTAGTGTATATATTTTACATACAATTGTTTCATCATTTATAAAACTTCCATGACAACTAGTATTTCAAAATATAGAGTTTCACAGGCCATGACAGGAGCCTCTGACTCTTCGCCTGTGTAACTACTCTCAACAAGTGGGACACTAAATCAAATGTTTGCACTAAAAATCCCAGAGGCTTCCTAATTTTCTACCCTGTTATGAGTGGACTTATCCAGACAAGCTGACAGTTTATATCTCACAAAACGGCGACGATCATATCCAGTCACGCCTCTAAATGATGGGTTAGGAGATGTTTTAAGAACGTATTGGCATTCAATTAAGACTTTATTAACACATTCAAACAATTATCACCTCCCTAATTGATCAGCTTGACATTTCAGAAGATTCATCCGTTCATGCACCATTTGGTGCTCGAGCGTCTTCTCCTCAGGACCGCCCAGAGGAATATTGCAGCGACCTTGAGGTTCACAGACTCAATTTGAGTGTCCCTGCTCTATATAAATATATCGCAGTGTCTGGTTTTATTTGGACCTTTTATTACCTCTTAATAATATATAAGCTAGCGTGCTCATAAGGTGGATATTGAGCAATCACCTTGGGGAGTAACCTATTTCTGCTTTATGTTTTTTGTTCAGAAATATTTGATCGGCGAGGTGAAAAATGTCTGTCGGCGTGTGAGCTGCATTAAATGTGATCTCAGCAGGACAACCCTTTAAGGTCGATGACATTCAGAGAACCTTTCCACAACTATTCTACAATGTTATATAATAGTTATCATCAGATGATTGTTATTAACTGAACTTTCAAGACCGAAAATGTTAAACCAGGGTTAAGCGTAGTATGAGAGCTATACAGACCCGTCTTTTTCCTTTACTCACAGTGTTCTGCCTCAGGGAAACAAAAAATACTTGTACTCAGGGTTATTATAGTTAACTAATACTAAAACCATGCAAGAAAGAAAGAAAGAAAACATTTGTTACTTGAAATAAAAGTTACATAAACTGAATATTAACTCAAAATAAGATACAATTTAAGAAAAAGTAAATGTATTTTATTTCAGCAAGTTGCCAAAGCGAGATTTCTCATTTTCATTTAGTTTAACATTATATAATAAAATAGCTAAAACTGAACAAAAAATAATAAAAGCTACAGACTAATTATATAAAAATGACAAAACACACAAAAAATACTAAAACTTTATAAGTAATATACAAATGAAAATACAAAAAAAAAAAAAATGAATCAAAATATTTAAAAACTAAAATGTAACTTATTTTATTTCAGCTAGTTGCCAAAGTGGCATATCTCATTTGAATTTAGTTTAACCTTTGGTACAATAACTTAAACTGAAATAATAATTATAATAATAATAATATATTTATTAGTGTGTATATATATATATATATATATATATATATATATATATAAAAATACAACAAAATGTTACTAAAACTTTACAAATGTAAAAAGAAAAGAAAAACTAATAGAAAATTATTTTTTCCCCCTTCAGAATTTCATGTTTAATCCAATGTGTTGCTGTTTCTTTCTAATAAATTGTGTAATGTATTAGCAATTTCTGAATGGAAAAAATATATATAAAAAAATGATATATGTGTATGTATAAAAATACATCAAAATTTTACTTTTTTCGTCACTTATTGCCATTAACAGACCAGAAACATTACAAACTGTCTTTATTGTAATGGTCAGAACAATTTCAAAGTTGAAATTTTTGAATAATAAAATCAAATAATCAAACAAAATGTAAAACAAAATAATAAATAATAATAAAAAATAATAAAATGTGTTTGCTGGATGTTACCGCTGCTCGATGTTAGATTTTTTTGGTCTTTCTCTTAAACTAACACAAAATCTAAATGGGATAAACATATCGTCATATTTGCAATACAGTGAGGCTCTGATATCAGATAAATAGTTGGTAAGAATATAAGATCCATTCATGAACCTGCACAGCCTTTCTGTGAATTCATCTTTTGGGAGCGGGAATGGAGCAGAGCTTTCGCCCGTGGCGTGCGATTTGAGTTCAGGCAGTGGGGTGAAATTGACTGTTACAATAAACCGCAAGAAGCACCTCTTCTCCCAGAGAAAGCATCGTGGGGTGCTGAATTATTCATGCTTGCTTTATTGCAGATTGGCTCAAAGAGAGAAGTTAGCATGCAAGTCCTGTGCAGAGTTTTCAGCACAAGGTGACTCACAGAAATCGACAACAGATTATAACCAGCTTATTAATTACATTTAATGCGTACACTTTCTTATGCTCAGCTGGCCAAAGACAGCCTAGATTCAGTAAGTTTGCTTGCTTTAATATGCAGCCATTTGTCACCCAATTGCATTAACTGGGGTCATATTTTTTTAAAAGAGGTTAATACTTTTATTCAGCAGGTATGCATTATTATTGATCACAAGTGACAGCAAATACATGTATAATAGTATAGTGTTATAATGTAAAGGTTTCTATTTCAAATAAATGCTGTTCTTTTGAAATTTCTATTTATCAAAGAATCCTGAAATATTGAATGTATCACGGTTTCCACAAAATTATGAAGCAGTTGTTTTCAACACTGATTATAATCAGAAATGTTTCTTGAATGATTTCTGAAGGATCATGTGACACTGATGGGAGTAATGCTGCTGTAAATTCAGCTTTGGTCACAGGAATAAATTGCAATATATTCACATAGAAAACAGTTATTTAAAATTGTAATAATATTTCACAATAACTTTTAGTAGTTATACATTGTATACATTCTAGCAGTCGAAGTCTATGTTATAATAACATGCATATAATAAATTAATCTATTTCAATACCTTGTTATGATGCGCACATGTAAAGCCATTAAAATAATCAATGTTAATGTAGTCAAAAAGTCACACACTTGTACATTACTAACACATTTTATTTATTTTGTTTAGCAATAAAAACTTTTTTGGTTATCCGAATAATTGGTGCATTATTTGTCAATACGGAGTCCTTACATTTCTGATTTGTTGACTGAATGCAAATAATAAAATGACGTTCTCTCAGCAAAAACGAGTGAAAAGGCAAGTATAATGCCTAGAAAGACAGCTACCGTATAATGAGTGCTGAATATATGCCTAGAGAAGAGCCGAGAGCAGCTCCTCTATTGAATGAGCAAACAGGCATCTTCTGTTTAATTCAAGCAAAATCAATGCAGATGACTTCAAACGTCACTTAGTCCAATTAGCGCAGCCGTGGAAGTGTACAGCAGTGAGAGCGTTGTGGGAATCGATCTGCGAATGGGATTACAACACCTGACTGGATGCTCACCACGTCTACTTATTAGTCATGATGTGTGGCGTGGTGAAACTGTCATATTTGACAATGGATCGTAAAATTGGCTCCAGACCAGACTTGCTGACAGACCTGACAAGCGAACTTGCCAGCTAATGCTGTCATATCATTGTGTTGCCATTTTGCAAGCAGACTCAATTTACCACTAGGGTTTTGAAAGGACGTTTTCACACACAAAAAAAAGACGGTGTGATAGCAATGAATTGGGTTATTTTCTTGTAATAACAAATATTAATGTAAAGTTCAAGATAATATTAAGTGACACATTAAAGACACAACATTATCATTTTGTCAATCATTGCACCTCCAATTGCTACAGTGGTGTTTCGTTGCTGAATGATTCTGCGTTTATGAACAAATCGGTTGAGTGAATGATTCAATAAGCCATTCATAAAAACAGCTGCTAAATTCAAAACTGTATAAAAAAATATTACTATTTTTAGCAATAATCTTACTTTGGCATAAATAACATAAGCAGTGTACTAGTACCTGGTTTGGAAATCAGCAAGTCGCTTGATTCATTCCTGAATGATACTGTTTTGAATGAATCAGTTGAATGACTGAATCAATGACTTAATCAATAAGACAGTGACTTGTCGCCACCTACAGGTGGTTTTAGTTTCATATTTAAAGTAGCATCATAGTTCTGTATACAGTATATTTATGTATTTATTTGTATTATTTATTATAACATTATGTAATTGTAACTGCAGTGTAAATGCATTCATGGCATCTCTGAGCTGCATCTCTGTGCAAATGCATCTAAATGCTACTTCAGATGCAGCTTCTGTGCCACTTCTGTAATGCAACGATGGATTTTTTTTTTCATTGGTAACAAGGTGTCTTATTATTCTAATTGCATTTATTGAATAAATATATGAATGTAACTTTTATCCTGACTTTATGAATCCTGCAAAGTGCTCTTCTTTTTGGTGCTATAGTAATGGCCAGTCTAGTGTTACCTGAGTTCTCAAAGTCGCTGTAAGATGCTTCCCAAGTCTCCGCCATGCCGATGAGCGTGTTCTCCATGATCTGGAGGTCAGTGGTGGGACAGTTGCATTGTGGGAACTCATCGGCACACTGACAAATGCACTGACTGTTCTGGCAGATGTACTCTCCCTCTCCGTTGCACATGATGTAGCTGAGTGCCGACTGGACAAACTTCTCCTGCAGGTACTCAGGGAAAATGACCTGCAAACCTGAAAACGGGAAAGAGAATCAATGTTAAAGTCATTGCAGAGATCCAAAGACATTATTGATTTCACATCAGCGAGCAACAGGTAGAAAGTGCTGCAGATAGCCGACGACAGAACTTGATTTCACATTAAGCAGTGCGTCGGCCCGCTCTGGATACGAGCACCTGAAATGGACTCGCGTATGGACCCTACATAGAGAGTTTACAGTTCAACTGCAGTAAATGAGCTCAGAATATACAGACGACAGTGACAGTGAATCATGCTGTCGGAGAGCAGTAAGTTTGTTGTGAAAGTTTTGCCAGAGGTCCACTTGACTTTGAACTGTCCCCTCGGAGTGGGAGGACTTTACATAATGGAATAAAACAGAGGAGTGATTGATGCATTCTGTCGTGATCGGCTTCGGCTTATTTACCAGGGCTGTCATAATATCCTCCACTGTGTGTGTGTGTGTGTGTGTGTGTGTTTCAGTGGGGGTCTGAATGTATGCTTGTGTTAAATGCAATAGCAACACTACACCATGTAATAAACTTATGTGAATGATTCCTCGAATCCTATACCACACCATCACAGAATCTACGGCTTAAGCGACCAAACAAAACACATGTAGGGCCTTGAATATGAAATCCATTTTATTTCTTTCACCTAATACATTTGCAATTTTTTATCAGATTCTGTTTTTATATATTTTTTTCTCGATTCCATTTCGGTTTTTAATGAACTAATTAGCAAACATTAACAATGTCATAATTTATTGAAATTTTAACAATAATAGTGCCATATGATTTTTGGCAGAAATTCTGTATTGCCTGTTTTATTATTATTATTATTTTGAGAAGTATATTCTGCTCTACAATAGTAATATAGTCAATTTCTTACAGTTAAACCAAACTTTTATTAAGACAGTTTGTAGTGAAGACCACACTATAAACCTTTCAGAAAACCTTGATAATATCAGCCTGCTAAACACCTGAAACATCCTAGTAACTACAGATTTGTGATACTGACAACTGGCAATATTTTTTTGAATTTTGTTGATAACAATAATCTTTCTTGGCTGATGTCTTGACCTGTCATGTCAACTGACTACTTCAGCTTTTCATATTCTTCTTATTCTGTGCAGTAGTTCATTCACAACAGTGACATTCATTAACTTTTTCATTAAGATGTGATATTTGATTTCCAGGGGATTTTACCATTATAATGGACTTTTTTTATAACCTTATTAGTTGAATGCATAATGTTATGTAATATTCTTACATGTAATCAGTCAATTCAGTCAGAATAATAGGACGCTATAGGGCTGTTAAAAATCAAATATAATCAGTATCAACAAAATCCATCTTTGCACTGCAGAAGTGACACTCAAGCATTTTGATGTATTTCACGGACTGTTTAATGCAGCTCGAAAGTGGCTTGAATGCATTTACACTGCAGTTACAATTACAATAATAATACAATACTAGAATTACAATAATATAATTACATAAATAATGCTATGAGATGAGTAATGAAGCACTTCTATGTACACAGACAATACTATTATTATTATTATTATTTCCCCATTCTAAGGCTAACATACTCAATAATGCTTAATTGTTGCACATCATTAAAACAAGTAGATGATACATATTAGACACCACTACTAGTAACTGAAAATGAAAGTGAAGTGACGTGTGGCCAAGTATGGTGACCTATACTCGGAATTTGTGCTCTGCATTTTACCCATCCAAGTGAACACACACCATGAACACACACCCGGAGCAGTGGGCAGCCATATTGCTGCGGCGCCCGGGGAGCAGTTGGTGGTTCGGTGCCTTGCTCAAGGGTCTCACCTCAGAGCACTGGTCATTCACTCCCCCCACTGAAAATACCTGTCGGACCTGAGACTCGAACCCGCAACATTCAGGTTACAAGTCCGACTCTCTAAACCAGTGGTTCTCAAACCTGTCCTGAAGTACTCCCAGCCCTGCACATTTTCTATGTCTCCCTCATCTATCACACCTGATTCAACTAATCAGCTCATTAGTGGAGACTGCAAGACCTGAAGTGGGTGTGTCAGATATAGGGAGACGTGCAGGAAAACGTGCAGGAAAACATGCAGTGCTGGGGGTACTTCATGGAGAGGTTTGAGAACCCCTGCTCTAACCATTAGGCCACGACTGCCCCGTAACTGCAAACCAACATGATAAAACAACTGCTAACTTCTTACATCCACATCACATAGCAACAGCCATTAGCATTGGCGGCCACCCATAGACTCTAGCAGTGCACGGGCAAACACCATCTCTGCTTCTTCAAATGTAAAAAATTGGTTTGTTGATAGTTTTTTTTTTTTTGTAAACCTCAGTGAGGGAAGTGCACTAGTCATTCCTGAAGGACAAAAATTGTATCCATTTGTCATGCTACATATCTACAGCACATCAGGAGACGCAATATATCCAACATGATTCAAAAATAAATCAAAAAGCCCTATGGAAAGAGCTATTGAGTTACATGGGGGCTTGTAAATAAATAATAAATCATACCTCAAAAGTCAACATAAAACATGGTAATGGAAGCTAGCCCTGATATAATACAGCATATCCATTTCTAATTGAAGGAAATGTGGTGTGTTCATGCAGATAATTGCTTCATAGTAACTACACATGTGAAGCATTATAGGACTGTGTTCGAGGTTATATTGCCTTTGCTTAAAAAAACCCACTGAAATATATAATAAACACTAAAACAAACAAATATATAATTAAATAAAAGCATTAATGTGCATAGTTCATCAACTGCAGAAGGAAAATAATTAGATGTTAAACAAACAACAGGTCTCACATTGACTGATCCTGCATATAAGCAAATATTACATTTGTTGATATTACAGCAGACAGCAACCTTTATAATAGACTTACTGTTGTTTATTAATGTTCATACTTATGGATTTAACCTTATAGCAGCAACCTGTCAGTTTTGGTTGTCATTTACCCGGAAGTGAGCTGGGTTGGATTGGCCATTTAGATTTCCAGCATCTCTGAGTCACAGCATCGCCAAACAGTCAATGTGACAGACATAAGCTGCCGTAAGAGTCCAGGACTGATCATCACAGCGGCTCGCCTGTCTCTCTCTCCATCAGACTGACTGTGGAGCCCTGAGACAATATTCATTTAGCTTGATGTATTCCTGCTCCTGCAACTTTAATGTGATTTGTGGGAGAATCCAGATGGTGGGTGCATGGATGGGTGCAGCTCGACGACACTGGCAGTGCCAGCAGCCCTGGGTTCACAATAACAGCCATAATGCAACACATACACACACAGTCCCCTTCTCCATTACTGAAACACTGCAGTGTCAAAAGAGGGATTCCAGTGCTTTTCTTTCAGCCTTTCTCGCTCTCCCTATTGTCATTTTATCAAACAGCTCTGTCTGAAGTTTCATTCATGTTTAAATTTGTTATCTCTTTCATTGAACCTATTTTAATATTTCTATATAGAAAATCAAAAAATCTCAACAACAAAAAATCAAGTCAATGTTCACTAAAATCTAAAGAAGAAAATGTGAAATTATATTTTGATTAAAAAGTCACATTTTAATTTTCAAGTCTAACATTAATTTTCAAATAAATGTACCAAGGCTGCATTTATTTGATCAAAAACACAGTAAAAACAGTAATTTAATGAGCTAGTGTTAAATACATTGTCATGTATTCCTGTGAAGCAGGAAGAAGAAGGGAAAAAAACACTATGTAAAATACTGTGTTGGCTTTATATATAAAACCCAGGGATAAGTATCTTAATTCTTACAATGATGCCACAATGCAAGCAACTAAAAATGCTTTAATTTATTTGAGCAAAATAATAATCAAGCTAAATGATTTGAATATATAAAAAAAATATTTAAACTTCATTTATTTAAAAAAAAAAAAATTTTTTACAGCTAAGTATGTCCTGGACATGTTTTTTACTAAACTTCACGTTTCATTGGTATGTTTCACTTGATTATGAAATTATGTTTCTTCTCTTAATTTTCACTCTTACGAAGGGGGAAAAAAAAACTTTCTGCCAAAAACATTCTGGTTAACTGCAGGATGATTGCCAAATTTCACTTCATTCAGCTGAAGTGAAAAACTGTCCTCGTAGGAGACAAATACAGTGTGTGATGAGCAATCAGGTGTAAAAATACTAATGAGAGCCTGTGGATGCTGAAAGAGGCAGGTTTCATCAGACCGTCTCACATATTCTCAGACTGTGTCCACAACCAAAGTCATCAAACATCAATGATGGCAGAAAGCAATGGAGTTTAATGGGCTAAAACTAAAGTTAAAACAAGGCAGAATTTATCGGTTTATTCTTGCATTTCAACCCGTCAAAAACCAGCCGTTCTCCCTGTGGCTAAGCACGTAAATCGCAGGTCTAGTTTATTTAATTGCATCCCATACATCATTCAGCAGTATGGAAATCTTGGGTTCATGTTATTAAAGTCTGTCTGCCCTGGATTTCATCATAAACTCAGCATCTATTTAAACTAATCTGTGTTGTATTTGTACATTCTGTAGCATTGCATTTCTATTTGCAGGTAATACCTGTGTGCTACTTTAATATAATCCCTTTTCGGTCCGGGTCTGGTCTTGACTTCAATTCTGGCGAGAGGATGGATACCTCTTAAATACCAACCGATAAATGCATTTCCTCTTAAGGTCTGAACTATTGATCAGCTCTTGCATGTGCCCTTTATTCAGGTAAGAAGCATGCTATCTAAATGTTAAACTTTGTCCATGGGACTTGGCCTTGACTGCTCTGCTATTTTTAAGGCTTGTAAATCGGGCCTGATTCCAGAGTTCACAGGCTCTTGGCAACGGCGCGGCTTGCAATGCCACGGTCCGCCTCATAAGCAAGGGTTTCATCAAAGATTAATTGAGCATTGTATGCCCCGAAATAAAAAAATAATAATAATAATTACCTAATGCACTAATGGAGTGAGAGGCATTACTTGAATAAGGTGTTAAATTATGGCTCAGTTCCTGTTAAAACTCACATAAAAAAATGAAGACCTTACGAACCGCCCTTCCCTCGCCTGTGTAATCACACTGAGTGGATGCTACGGCCGGCTCATTTAAAGGGTCATAGCTTTATAACAGTGCACTGCACTTTGTAGAGAAAAACAGCCCGCTCTTTTATTGCCATAAAATAAAACCTGCACATATGACTTTGGCTCCAGAGACAGTAACGTTAGTCTGGAAATCAGTAATGCAGATCAGATTGGTAGCAATGTATCCTTGTCCTTCCCTGAAATCACATGATAAAATAAATGGCTTTTTAACCAGTGCCATCAACCTCAGGTGAACGCTTCGCCACCAACCACTGGAACATTTTTTTTAATTAATTTTGCACCACTGGTGCAAAATTCATTACTCAGTAACTTGTTGAGGTCTGATAGGACACATAAATTAGCTTCTCAGCACATTATATTACAACTTAGGCTCATTAGAAAACCATCAGAACTCCAAAAAAACCTATCTATGCATATACAGTTCACTGCAGTTTCCAGTTGAAATGAACACTATTGGCAGTAAAACACCAACTCTTTTGTTAATTTTCACAGAAATTATGATTATCGGGCAGATTATTGATGAATAAAAACTTAATTTCACATGGTTCCTTGCATAATACTATGTTATGAGCTCAAAACACTTTTACCAAATTTGTAAACAAATATATTTTGATGTTTGCGTCACATAACCAGCTTCATATGTATGGCTTTTCTGATGAAGTAAACTTGCTTGGTAGCACATCTGGAAATCTGATTGGAAATTCTAATTGGAAATGAAGATGGTGCCACGTATGGCTGACACGGTGTGGAGCTTTGAGGTTCTTTGGCTGTTTTTGTTTGTTTGTTGTGTGTTTAGTCATTCTTTTACTATCAGTTTTACCAGAGACGAACTACAGGACATAAGGCAGCACACACCAGACAGATTTTTTTCTGGGTGTTTTTTGTAATTATTCAGACACTTTGTTGGATGTTGTAGTCAGAGGGGCAGCGGTCCTATTCAAACACATGCTCAGATGGAAACGAGGCAATCGTGCCGGCGCGATTGTTAAGATTGCCGAACGTGGCTTCTAAACAGTGCTTCCTAGCAGGTACATGCACATACATTTTGAGGGGCAGGGGCTCAAGTGAAAAAAAGGGCACTTCTCATATTTATTTTATTTTCTTTTTAAACAAAACGTTAAATATATTAACACAACTCGTACTTACTCACCAATTTATTTGAATCCCCTCACACTCACCCAATTGTTTCATGTTGTTTCATTTTTTAACAGATGTCTACAAAATAAATAGTTCACAATGTTGTTATAATTACACTAACTGTACCATGCAATTTTGGGATGTTGGTCTATTTTGCTTCCAAGTCTTCTTTTGCTCTAGTGAAAAGGAAATTTCCAAAATACACATTAAGGTGTTTGTTGTAAGCCTACTAACCTCGTCCGTTTGCTTCTGTAGATTTCTTCTAAATTAACCAAAACAAGCTATCTGCATATTTAAACATAACATTTCAAGGGAAAAGACTCTTGATGTAAGTCATTAACTAATAACTGGGTAAGTTAAGTGGTGATATTCTTTAGTTATTTAGTTTATCTCTATTCATTTGCAATGCCTTGTGTCAAATGTATGCAAATTAGAGCATTTTAAGTACTTAACGCCTAATTTGCATATCAATGTGGCAATTCTGATGACGTTATTAATTTTACTGTATTCAGCTGTCGTTTCTCCGTTAAGTTTGCCTGTATGCCATGTAAATGTATGTAAACGTATTTAAACTCCAGCTAATTTATTACATGGTAACTCATGAGTCATGGATGTTAGCAAGACAAATGAACATATTTGCCTTTCGTCTTTTGGATAATTAGCTGTAAATTCGAGGCACAGGTAGCTTAGTCTTTTGTTCATCACCACTCACCTCCACACCAAGACAAACACAACTGGAAACGAAGGGAGGGCTTCACTTCTGCAGCTCTCTGCCTGTCTGCGATGTGCCGATCAATGTGTGCTACACTGCTGTGCTGTGCTGAGATGCGGAGACGCGGAGGAGAGAAAGGCATCGGAACTCAACAGAGTCTCAACAGAGACCCGACCTGATATTTTTATTTTTTATTTGTTTGACAGGGAAAGCTGTGCGCAAACAAAAACACAGACACACACGCACACATAATACATATATTCATTTATAAAAATAAAAAAAACTCCCCAGAAAAAAGGGCACTTTCTCTCGAGGAAGAAAAAGGGCAGGTGCTCAAGCCC